CCGCCTGACACTGGCCCGGAGCGACAGTGACCCCATGAGCGCACGGCTCGCCCTCCTGCAGTACGGCAAGGAGCAAGAGCAGGTGGTGGCCTTCCCCCTGACCTACAACCTGACCTACATCTCGGAGGGCCTGGCGCAGCTCAAGTACCTCGACTCCTCCTCCAACGTGGGCGCGGCCATCATCCACGCCGTCAACAACATCGTCATCAACCCGCAGAACCGGCAGCGGGTGGCCCGGCGCAACGCCGAGCTCGCCTTCGTCTTCCTCACCGACGGCATCACGGGCAGCAAGAACCTGGAGGAGGCCATCAACTCCATGAAGAAGCAGGACGTCATGCCCACGGTGGTGGCCCTGGGGAGCGACGTGGACATGGACGTGCTGCTGAAGATCGGCCTCGGGGACCGAGCCGCCCGCAGAACCGGCAGCGGGTGGCCCGGCGCAACGCCGAGCTCGCCTTCGTCTTCCTCACCGACGGCATCACGGGCAGCAAGAACCTGGAGGAGGCCATCAACTCCATGAAGAAGCAGGACGTCATGCCCACGGTGGTGGCCCTGGGGAGCGACGTGGACATGGACGTGCTGCTGAAGATCGGCCTCGGGGACCGAGCCGCCATCTTCCGGGAGAAGGACTATGCCAGCCTCTCCCAGCCCGGCTTCTTCGACAGGTTCGTTCGGTGGATTTGTTAGCTCAGGGGGCGCGTTCTCCGGCGCCAGCCCCCCGCTCGTCCCCGGCTTGCCTGTCCCCTGCCACTGTACGGCCCCTCGCAAGCCCAGCGCGGCCCACCCGCTGCCCTTTGGGCGGCCTCTTGCTTTAACCCGAGTCCAGAGCGCATCTCTCCTTGTGGCGGTGACGGCTGTCGCTCGACTTCATGGTGCTAGTCATAACCCAGGCCCAAGGCCTCGGCATCCTACCGTGTACTCTCTAGTGCCCCAGCAAAGGAATGGGAGCTGCACCCCAGCCAGCAGGAAGACAAGGTGACACGGGGAGCCCAGGGATGTCCAGCCCCCCCCCATTCCAAGTGTCCCTCGGCAGAGCTTGCAGCGCCCAAGGCTCCGGCCAGGGAGCAAGCTCAGTGGTTTCTAGGGGGCCCTGCACAGAGCCTGGACCTCAGCTGGGCTCACAGGAAACTCACTGAAGCCGGCGTTAGCCAGTGGCACCCCCGGGGCCGCCCTGTCCCCTCCTGAGCAGGGGTGGGTTGGCCTGTCCCCCCAGGCCTGGCCCAGAAGCAGCCCTTCTGGAAAATGCTCCCAGGTGGCCCTGCCAGGGCATTTCCCTGGCCGCCTCCTGCCACTGGACTCTGTTCCACTCCTCGTCTGCCTCCCTCCCTGGCTCTCCACGCATCCACCACAGCCTGCCAAGGCCAGCGGGCGGCCGAGCACAGCAGGCCTGTCTGGGCGGAGCACACCCCCGGGTACGCGTGGGAAACCAGGAACTCGCAGCTAAGAGCTCCTGGCCTCCCCTTGTGCTCTGCCAACTCAACCAGTCAATAAACTGCCCCACCCACTGCTCTTGTCTGCTTTGTGTGTGCGGCCGGGCCCTCTGGAACCCGCATCGGTTCTGCCCGTTCCCCCGGGCCCTCTGGAACCTGTGCCAGTTCCACCTGCTACCTCCCGGGCCCTCTGGAACCCGCACCTATCCCGCCCGCTCCCCCAAGCCCTCTGGAACCCGCAGCGGTTCCACCCGCTCCCCCGGGCCCTCTGGAACCCGCGCCAGTTCCACCAGCTCCCCCCGGGCCCTCTGGAACCCGCGCCAGTTCCACCTGCTACCTCCCGGGCCCTCTGGAACCCGCACCTATCCCGCCCGCTCCCCCAAGCCCTCTGGAACCCGCAGCGGTTCCACCCGCTCCCCCGGGCCCTCTGGAACCCGCGCCAGTTCCACCTGCTACCTCCCGGGCCCTCTGGAACCCGCACCTATCCCGCCCGCTCCCCCAAGCCCTCTGGAACCCGCAGCGGTTCCACCCGCTCCCCCGGGCCCTCTGGAACCCGCGCCAGTTCCACCTGCTACCTCCCGGGCGTGGGAGCAAAGGGCAGCAGAAGGGGGAGCAGGGCTCTTCGGCTGCACGTGGCTTCTGCCGTGGCTGTGTCCCCGTGGTGCGCCCACGCCGGGTGGAGGCGCCACCTTAGTCTGAGTCGGAGCCGCTGCTGGAGCCTCTGCCATGCTGAAAGGGAGGGGACCGATGGCTAAGCCACTCACTAAGCGGAGCCCTCGCCCACAGCCCTGCCCTCCCCCCCCCCGCCTGACGGGAGCCGGTTGAACTGTGGCTCCTCTCCAGCCGGCCGTACGCGGTGCCTTGGCTCCTCCCCTCTGCCTGGGGCCCCAGCCCTGCTCCTGAGCCCAGCCGCAGTGAAGTGCTCCTCACGGTCCCTACAACGCCCTGGGATCACCCTGCACACGGCCCCGCAGGGTCCTTGGGCTCACGGTGCTGCTTACACGTTGGGCCGGAGGGGGGGGCCGGGGCTTGCAGCGACCCGC